CTATTTTAACTGTAAACACTGTGAGCTCATTCTTTTTGTTTGTTTCTTTTTTTTTTTTTTCCAAATTTTGAGTCATAATGTCCTTGGCCTCAGAAATGGATGAGTTTGTTACTCAGTAGTATTAAAAAAAATTTTTTTTCTCATTGAGTTTATTGGTATTTTTTTAGGTATACAGTACAGTTACATTCATCATTGGGCTCTTGTACCTTTGCATGACAGGTCTTGGTTCTCATTTTTCCCCATTCCCCTGCCCTCCCTTCACCCCCTGCCCCCTTCCCTATTTACAAAAATTTACTTCCTTTTTTTGTTTTCTCATATTTTTTTTCTTTTCCCTTACTTCTTTTCCCCTACCCTTCTCACTTCCCCTACACCTTCATCCCTTTTCTTCCTATTTCACATTGCCAATTATACCATTAGGATCTTATTTTTCAATTATAGTTTTTCACATCAGAGAAACTATTTGGTATTTACAGATATGTGACTTATTTATTTCACTTGAGTATAACCTCAATATGTATCCATTTTCCTGTGAATAACTCTAATTTCTCATTCTTTATGGCTGAGTAGTAGTATTTTTTCTTAATGTTGTATTGATTTACTCTCCGTTTTTACATAACTTCTAAATGTTTTAAGAGCCAGGTTAATTTACCACTGTAGTTGGTAGAGTATCACAGTATGTGTCATTAAAGGGCCCTCTGATGGTAGATGACAGGATAGTGTAGATTTTTCCTCAGATGCATCTGGTAAATTATTGATGTTTTTAAGGCATTTGCAAAATACCTTTCAAAAGAAAGAAGATAATTTATTCTAATAAGCACTAAAGTGTTTCTTCGTGAGGACAGGAAGTACAATCCACTGACTTGTAGTCATAGATCTCATTGAAGTTAGCCCTTAAGACATGTATGAGAAGCAAATGCCAACCAATTTCTGTGATTTTCATCTAAAACACATAAAGCCCAAGTTGTACTCTGGGAATTAATCAGTATTATTAATAGCAATGTCCTTCTTCACCTGAGATTAACAAGAATTTATATCTGATTAGGTTGCTTTTGTATTTGTCCTGAATGACACTTTCAACAGGTGGCATGGTACAGGAAAAATAAAGACAAAAACAAAAACAAGTGTGTCTTTGCTATTTAAGACTTTATTTAATGGAGACTGCATCCAGATCTTTAAAGTATAACACTGAGGTATATTAAATATAAAAGCCATAGATATATTTTATTTATTCTTTCCCATCTTCTGAAACAAATCACTGATATCTAAGAATATGTATGCATAACTAATAATGGATGCATACATTTACATGAACATAAATGTTTACATTTTAAAATTCTATTAAATATTTATTTGCCCCTGAAACTCTTAAATATCCAATATATCTCACATCAACATGAAAAAACACAGCTAGTCTGAAAAGTAAAACTTTTTAATAGTTTCATTTATTCAGTTTCATTTGACTGATTTTTTTGTAGAATTAATCAACTTTTTGGCATTATAAAGACATATTGAAGAGATGAGTTTGCTCATAATTGACAACCTGTTAAGTTATTCATTCAGCTACAACATAATGACTTCATTGAAATCAGCTTAGGAAGAATGACCCTACCACATGTTTTGTTTCTAGTCTTAAAAAGACAATGAATAGCAGAATTATTTCAGTTCAGTGTTAGAGTCCCATACAGTTCCATAGAAGCTTTCAGTAGATAAGGTTTATCTGGACAATTTTAAATAAAAATAATAGAAGGGAAACTCTTTTAATGATATTTAATTCAAAATAATGGAGAAAAATAAGTTGAGTCTCTATGAAACAAAAGAAAGAAATAGGCCACAAAAGTATACTAATGTGGAATTGTAAATCATGTGTTGTTTGAAAGCCACCTGAGCATAAGATTATAAGATATTCACACAAGTTATTCATAAACACACAGAAAAGGACACTTTATGTGCTTCATTCATATTTCCTTTTCCCTCTGTTCTATATTTTGCTGTTCTTAAGACATGAACATATTCTGAAAATGTGCTTTAACAAAAGTAATTATTACATAATATAAGTTATATATTAACCTATTTAGCATCTTTAATTCTCTTGGAAGCTATGAACAAGGGCAAGTGGGTATTTTGAGGATCCTTTCACTTTATCCTCAGTTTGCGGTGGGTATGACACAGCCATACACACAGTGTTTTATTGAACCTGCACACAGATAGTATTCTGAAATGGTTTTCAATTAACTCTCATCTTTTGATTTTTAGGAGTTTTCCAATTGTATTAAAAATGCAATGACCATCATCAGTTTTTGTGGATATTCACGTATGATGACCAGTTGGCCTTATTTACCTGAGATTGAGAAATCTTCTGGGATATGAGATTTGCAGTACTAAAACAGTCAAAATGAGGGATAGCAACTAAAATTGTTAATACAAGCACAGCTAGTACTCATTTACTGAGAACCTAACCTTCAAGCATGATGCTAAGAACATAACTCTTGTCCTTTCATTTAATCCCCATGACAGTTCTTGGAAGTAGGTGCTAAATTTCATTTCCATTTTAGAGATGAGGAAACTGAGACTTAGCTAATATAGCACATAAGTTAGCTAACACATGTACATTAATATATGTGCTTTAAATCATTTTTATTATATCTCAGGCTCCTATTACACTATGACATTTACAATATAATTTTATGTTAGGCTTGATGGGCAAGTGAATAAAAAGGTAAATTTTAAAGAAAATTGTTTCACCTTTTAGTAGGATTATCCATTAGAACAATGCACCTTTACTCCAGTGTGATTGATTGGTCTTGTAATATTCAGATGAACAGAGGTGAAGTCAATCACTGTTTTTAAGTAATTTGAGTCTAACTCATCTTAATGTAGAAAGCTCAGAACTTATGCTAACATTTGTTTGATTGTAAGAGACAGACCAAACCTAAACTATACACTGAACTTTTTTGTTATGCTCCTCCTCTTCTTCCTCCTCCTCCTTCTCCCCCTCCCTCACTCCTACTGCTCCTTATGCTCCTTCTCTTTTTCCTACTCTTCCATGTCCTCCTTCTTCCTCTTCTTCTTTTTGGGGACTACACAAAAGAGGAGATAATTTAGGTGAAGCATGGATAAAAAGGGAAGATTCAGAAGCACATGAAAGAGGAGTAGAACTCTGGAGAGGCAAATGACATGTGGCTGCTGACGGAGGTATATGATCTAGAGTGTGGGTGCTGGAACAGAAAATGCTCCTCCAGTTTTCAAAGAACCAATACTGGAAACATCAGGATGCTGTGGGCAAGTGCTTTTTCCACTCTGTCTTGCCATAAGTCCTAGCACTATCTGATACTTGAGCTTGATTTCTTTTTTTTAAAATTTAAATTGAATTTATTGGTACATTCTAGGTAGACAGTACAGTTACATTCATTACTGGGATCTTGTACCTTTACATGCCAGGTCTTGGTTCTCATTTTTTCCCCTTGTCCCCACCCTCCCTTCAGCTCCTCCTCCCCTCCCCACCTTTAAACACTTTAATTCCATTTTTACATTTGCTTATATTTTTTTCCTTTTCTCTTTTTCCCCTTTCCCTATCTTTCTCACTGTCCCTACACCTTTGGTCCTTTTCTTCCTAAAGGTATTATGATTATAGAATTGCATGTTAATCCCAGTTAAATATGTAATTGGGCAGTAAAATCAATAGGGAAAATTTTGAAGCATTTTATAAAGATGGAATTTCTCACCCTCAGGCTTGATCTAGACCCTAGTAGATGGGGTCTTGGTCTCTGCCACAGCTGCCAGAAAGATAAGTATAAAAGCAAAGAAATGGATTTAGGAAAGCACAGGGATAGATTATTTGTCTTCTCTATTCAAGTCATTTGGAAGACCAAATACTCAAATTAAATTATAAATATTTTCTAGATGACTCTAAAGAAGAAACAAGTGAATGAATAAATAAAATATGACCAATATTAGCCTTGATTCTAATACATTCAATAGCATGAATGAAGTTGGAGGACATTATTCTAAGGGAGATAAGCTAGTCACAAAAAGACAAATCCTGTACGGCTCCATTTCTTATTTATAATGGAGGCACTGATAGAGATGGAAAGTAGAATGGCGAATACCAGGGACTGAGAGGGGAGAAAATAGGAAGCTATTGTTTACCGGGAACTGAGTTTCACTTGTACTAGATAAGAAAGCATTTTGGAGATGGATGGTGATACTAGACAAAAATGTGAATGGGCTTAAAATGTATAATGGGCACCAAAATGTATACTTGAAATGGTTAAGATGTTAAATTCTATGTAAAAGCAGAAAGAAGAAGCCTGGAGTCTTTTGGTGTGCTCAATTTCTAACACTATCTGAAGAACTCCTGTACTTTTGTTGTTGCTATAACAGTTTACAAAATAGTTAAGCAAGTTATACAAATTGGATATTACTTACACTTTTAGTTTTTCACACCAGAGAAACTATTCAGTATTTACATGTGTCCTATTTATTTCACTTAAGAATATGGCCTCAATATGCATCCATTTTCCTATGAATGACTCTAGTTTCTCATTCTTTATGGCTGAGTAGTGCCTAAAAAGTAGCAATAAACTCAATGAAAAAAAAATAGTTAAGCAAGTTTCTGACTTGACAATTCTTTGGTTTTATCATCTATAAATGAGGAGGTGAAATCTTATTGTGCAAATATTGCTTTTGAAGAAAAATTGAACTTTCTCTTAAAGGCCAGTAGATACAATTTATCTTTTCTATTCTTTATCTGCTGCCTTTTTATGATTTAAATAATGAATGTCCCATCAAAGTCTCATGTGTTCAGGGATGGGGCTTTTGGAAGTTGATGGGATCATAGAGGCACTAATCTCACCTGTGGATTAATCCACTGATGAATTAATAGCTGTGTGTTCTCTTAGGAAATGGGGCCTAGTTGGATAAGGTGAGTTATGAGGTATGTGCCTTTGTAGGGCATATCTTTCACTTTGGCTTTTCTTTTTTCTGCTTCCTGGCTGCTACAGGTTGAATGGGCTTTCCTCTGCTATACCCTTTCATCATGGTGTTTCTGCCTTGGACCCAGCTGACCACGGACTGAACCCTCTAAAACTGTGAGCTAAGTCTCTAATTTCTAAAGTTTCAGGGGTCAGATATTTAATTCCATTGACAGGAAGGCCGAATAATCTATGCTTCAATCTCAAAAAAAAAAAAAGTTTGATAATGAAGCCAAAATGTAGTACAAAGCATGCTGTTACAAATGATTCAGACTTTACCACTGTACTTTGGAAAATGGAAAGTGACTGTAGGGCTGGGCTGAATGGTAGTAGAAATCTGCACTGAGATTCCACCAAAGATCAGGACATCTTTCTAAGTGGCTTCTACTCTTTGTGGAAGGGCCTAGGAAAGTTGTAACTTCTCCAGTACTACTGGTTCCCTTCTAACTTTCTAACTTTCATGTATGGCAAAGTTCTTATACCTTCATCACAAAGTGATATTTATTTGAGAATTAATCACTGAAGCAACTAGTGAAGCCACTAAAGCCAATTATTTAAGGGCTTTAGAGACACACAATCTAGTTTTGAATCCTTCCTTAGCCATTCAGTGACTATGTGCCCTTAGTCAATTTAGTAAATATCTTAAACATTAATGTTGTTATCTGTACATGAGGGATAATAATAATCTATCTTCTTGGAAAGTTGGGATCATGTCAGAAATGTCTAGTGCATTTAGTTTGCAGAAAGTATTTAATACATGTTAATTATTTTTGGTACTGAGGATCAAACTCAGGACCTTGAACTTGCGAGGCAGGTGGCAGAACCACTAAGCTAAATCCCCAGCCCCATGTTAATATTTATTAATTAAATTATTTCCAGAATAGTAAAAAGTAGGCAGGGAAGATTTTTACCAATGGTATAGAACTCTACATAAACATTTTTTTCTTATTGGCAGAAATGTAAATATTCAGAGCCACTATTAGGAAACATCATGAAGCTACTTCAAAAAATTAAAATAGATCTGCCATGTGATCCAGCTATCCCACTACTGGATATATACATTCAAAGGAAATGAAATCAGTATATGAAAGAGATATCTATACTCTTGTTTAGTGCAGCATTTTTCATAACAGGCAAGATATAGAATCTTTTTAAGTGCCCATCAATGGATGAATGGATGAAGAAAATATGGTACAGTAACCCAGTGGAATGCTATTCAGTTGTTTTTCTTTTTTTCTTTTGTACTGGGGATCAAAGTCCAGACCTTGCACTTGCAAGGCATTGGTGTAACAACTGAGCTAAATCCCTGGCCCACTATCCAGTTTGTTTTGTTTTGCTTGTTTTGGTTTTTTGGTACCAGGGATCGAACTCAGGTCCTTGTGCTTGTGAGGTAGGCAGTGGCACCACTGAGCTAAATCCCTGGTCTACTATTCAATTTTTCTTCTTTTATTGAGTTTATTGGTACATTTTAGGTATACAGTACAGTTACATTCATTATTGGGATCTTGTACCTTTACATGACAGGTCTTGGTTCTCATTTTTTCCCCTTGTCCCTGCCCTCCCTTCACCCCTTCCTGTCCTCCCCATGTACGAACACTTTATTTCCATTTTTTCATTTTATCATATTTTTCCCTTATTATCGTTCCCCTACCCTTCCCACTTTCCCTACACCTTTAGCCCTTTTCTTCCCATGTCACAATGTCATTTATCTCATTAGGATCTTATGTACTATTACAGTTTATTCAAACCAGAGAAACTATTCAGTATTTACACATGTGTGACCTATTTATTTCACTTAGGAGTATATCCTCAATATGCATCCATTTTCCTATGAATGAGTCTAATTTCTCATTCTTTATGGCTGAGTAGTATTCCATTTTACAGAAAAACCACATCTTCTTTATCCAATCTCCAACTGATGGGCAAATGGGCTGTTTCCAACTTTTAACTGTTACAAACTGTGCTGCTATAAACATGGGTGTGCATATATCACTCTGGTGTGATTCTTTAAATTCTTTTGGAAAGATATGCAGAAGAGCAATGGCTGGGTCAAATGGAACCTCTAGTCCCAGCTCTTTGAGGTATCTCCATATTGATTTCCATTGTGGTTGCACTAGTCTGCACTCCCACCAACAATGGAGAAGGGTTCCTTTCTCTCCACAACCCCGCCAACATTTGTTATTGGTTGATTTCTTGATAGCAGCCATTCTTTCTGGGGTGAGGTGGAATCTCAGTGTTGTTTACATTGGCATCTCTCGAATGACCAGTACTATTCAGTTTTTTAAGAAATGAAATCTCACTTTCTGTGACAACATGGATGAAGCTAGAGGGCATTATGCTAAGTGAAACAAGCCAAGCACAGAAATACAAATGCTGCACAATCTCACTTGTATATGGAATCTAAAATAAAGTTAGCTCAGAAGCATAGAGAGGAAGGGCCAGGGGAAGGAAATTTTAAAAATCTTACACTTTGTATGTGTTCCAGAATATTTTTTACTAATGGACTCACCCACTGTGTTTTTGGTTTATGTCATCAGTTCCCTAATATTGTTTTATTCCTTCTTTCCTCATCTTTAGAAGAAGTCCTTGCATTGCATTTTCTCTACCTCTTTAAAATATTATCCAAGATTGTGATGAATCACAGCAGTTGGGCTTGAAAATTGGTCAACATAAAATTCCAAATATAATCCAACTTCAGATGATGTTGGTTTTAAATTATTCATATGATCTGATGAGGAACTCAAGAGCATTTGTAGACAAATAGCTTTGCTCAAAATGATGCACAGCACATCTGAAACAGATCACCATAATCTCACTTTCCAGATGAGAAACCAAAGCCTAGGAACACACAAATACTAGCCCAATATTGACCTAGAAATGCAGAATCAAACAACAAAAGTTTCCACCAGGGCTCAAGATTAAGTAGTAAATCCTCACTCATTCCCTTTCTTGTCCCTATTTCCTGAAGGATAAATGACTTTTTTCTTAAAGGAAATTCACAGGTGAGGGCAAAGCATACTATAAAGGCATGTGGTTAGTAGTGCTACTTGTGCTCCAGCTCAGCTACAACAATAATAATAGAAAGCAAAATGTGAACTGAAGCCTGTGCCGAATCTTTGCTTCTCAACTTGGTGTGCAAGGCACTTCAGGATCCAGCTCAACTGACTTTGCGAGCCTCTGCTTGCCCCTCGCTCCTTAAGTCCATATATAAACCCTAATTAACATCATTATTCAACTCTCCAAACTCCCAGTATTTCTACCACTAACTGCACCACTCTGCACTTCCTGCCTCACTTATCATTAAGTATTTGACCTGAGCATCAGAGCTTCTGGGAACACATCTCAGCTTTCCTCCTCTTCTCTTTCAGTCGAAATCCCCTCTTCTGTGTCTCCAGAGTACTTGCACTATATTAACATTACCTGTTCCCTATCTCTCTTACCCATTAGATTCTTACTTCCTTTAAAAGGGCACTGAAGCTTGAAAGCTCAGCCCACAGTAGGTCTTAAGTAAGTGGATATTTTTCTAGTTCTCCCAGGAGAAGAACTCTACTTGATTTGTTCTTTCACTAACATATAACAAAATTTCCCCTAAAGATATGGTCCAGTAGACTTGTATGGACTAAGTATGACTGATGTATTAATGGATTGATAGACATACAAGGATGTTTTAGCAATCATTGTTTCCACTCTGTTGGGGAGCAGTGTGAATTTTCTCGAAAATTGAAAAGACATTAGAAATGAAAAGCCACAAAAGTAGCAGTGAACATAAAAAATAGGGCATATTGATCTTAAATGTGTGCACATGGTATGTTCAGACAAATTTTGTTTCCAGGAATTCAGAACAAAGCTTCCTACTTATTATGCCTTCATGTTGAGATACATAAGTGGACAGAAAGTAATGAAATTCATATGTCTATGATTCATTTACTCACCATTCTTCACGCTGCTTAGTTACAGAAATGCTCTTGATACTGACAAAGCAGGTGGGCTTTTGGGAGATAACTCTTACCCTGAAATTTGGGGACTTTTGAAGAAATTCCAAACCTGTTAAGTCAAAGAAGCATGTAAGCTGATTCCCCAACTTTTCCCAGGAAAGGTTAATAATCTTAGAGGCTTGAGAGTGATAGTGCTATAGATGAAATGCATAAATGGCCAATTGGTTCCATTTCTCAAGGAGCCAGTGATCTACACCAAAACTTTGAAGCCGTTCCCAATTTGTTCCACAGTCGTGATTAACTTCAACTTTATGACAGGAGACTAGAATGTACAAAAATGGCCAAAACCTTTGAAAAGAAAAACAATTAAAATAGTGATAATTCAAATGATGATGGATCATTAAAAAGCCCATGCTAAAACCATTTTTTTCACTTTTCTATTTTTTTACTAGGATACACATAACATAAAATTTGCCATCTTTACAACTTTTAAATGTGCAGCTCCATGATATTAAATACATTCATAATGTTGTACAGCCATTGTCACTGTTCATTTGCATAACTCTTGAATGCTAAATTTTTAATGCCTCAAAATGACCAGGTATAAGGAAGGACTTCATTTTCCTTCTCTGAATGTTACAGTTAAAAAATGCTAAAAGCACCAGACATGATGGCATACATACACCTATAATCCCAAAATTAAAAATAAATAAAAAGGGAGTATCTGGAGATTTAATATTATAGATCAGTGTGAAAATCCTGGGTTCAACCACTAGTATTATCACACACACACACACAGAGAGAGAGAGAGAGAGAGAGAGAGAGGAAGAGGAAGAGGAGGAGGAGGAAAAAAAAGAAAGGAGTGGAGGAGGAGGAGAAAATGAAGAAGTGGAGGAGGAGGAAGAAAAGAAGAAGAAGAAGAAGAAGAAGAAGAAGAAGAAGAAGAAGAAGAAGAAGAAGAAGAAGAAGAAGAGAAAGAAAGAAAGAAAAAGAAAAAATGCTAAAATTAAATCTTTAAAGGAGAACATCAATAAGAAGTCAGATTACTAGTTATGACTGACACAAAACAAAATGAAAAACAACCAGATAGAAGAATCTAGTATAAGATGATACCTCAGAAGAAGAAGAAGAAGAAGAAGAAGAAGAAGAAGAAGAAGAAGAAGAAGAAGAAGAGAAAGAA